GACTTAACAACTACATTTAGTTATATATATAGTATAGATAATAATAATGAACCTATGAATTCTATTTTTTTTTTAAACAGAATTTATACCCAAAAAAATTGCTAAAAATGATTATTTGTAGTTTAGATTGAACTTTTATATGGTGGGAAAAATAAAAAAGTTTTTCATAAAATATGAGCCTAAAATCCTGATCATAATGTATACATTTTTTTCTTTTTTTTTGTTTGGGTTTTGTTTGTTATTTTTTCAATCAACATGAGAAACAAAATGGAATTATAGGATTTTTCATTTTTTCAAGAATTACAGAATTTATACCCGAAATAATAATAAATTGAGTGTAATCAACAAAATGAATGTAAACAATATTATTTAATTTTTTTATAATCTTTATCACAATATTATTTGGATTGAATAATTAAGGAGCAACCATTATTTTTATATTATAATTTTTTTTGAGTTGTACACGTATTGCGTGTGCCCCACTGCTAGTTAAAAGTAAACCAAACAGTTATAAAACATGTACGATCAAAGCAGATGACATGTGCTACCAATTTTTCTTTTTCTTTTTTCCTTACATAATTACAAAATTTATTCAAAAATTACAAATTTTTTGAAAAAAAAAAAACAATGATTAAGATGTATTTTGATAGTAAAAAATAAATAAAAATAAACACCATTTTTTTAACTAAACAAATATAGAATTTATATTAAAAAAACAAACAATCACTGATAGAACATTTATAGTGAAAGAAGGGTAATGTTGTTAGATAATCCCCGGAGAAGTTATTAGTTTTGAACAATACAAAATTGTAAAGCAACCGGCAAAATAAAAAATTTATTAAAAAAAAAAACAAATTAGTGAACCATAAAGAAAGCAATTATATAAAGAAAAACAGACAATCACTGATAGAACATTTATAGTAAACGAAGGGTAGTGTTGTTAGATAATCCCTGGAGAAGTTATTAGTTTTGAACAATACAAAATTGTAAAGCAACAGGCAGAATAAAAAATTTATTAAAAAAAAAAAAAACAAATTAGTGAACCATAAAGAAAGAAATTATATAAAGATATTCTATTTTTTATTTTTATAATATATGCGATAAGATTTTTACATAGTGGGGTTGCATCATTAGTGTATTTTAATTTTTTATATAATGGGGTTAATCAAGTGAAAAATCTTTTATGTTACAATATGTTTGGTTGGTAAAAATAAAAGAAAAATATTGTGAATCCTAAACCAAAAAAGAAGTCTGTACCTACAAAATTCTTACATGATGATGAGGGCATCAATTATCACTTAGATTGAACTTTTATATGGTGGAAAAAATAAAAAAATAAAAAATTCAAAAAACATGTGACTAAAACTCATATCATAATGTATATATGTTTATTATTATTATTATTATTATTATTATTATTATTATTATTATTATTATTATTATTATTATTTGTAATTTAGATTGAACTTTCATATGGTGGTTTTTATAAATAAATTTGCCATAAAAATATGAGTCTAAAATCCACATCATGATGTATATATATATATATTCTATTTGTAATTTAGATTGAACTTTATTTGGTGAGAAAAATGAAAAAAAAATTTCATAAAAATATAAGCCTAAAATCCACATTCAACTAAATCAAACAATAATGTATACATGTTTTATTTTTTAAAATTTAGATTGAACTTTTATATGGTTGAATTTTTTTTAAAAAGAAATCATAAAAATATGAGCGTAAAATCCACATCATAATGTATATATATTTTTGTTGTTTTATTTGTAATTTAGATTGAACTTTTATATAGTGGAAAAAATGAAGAAAAAAATCATTAAAATATGAGCATACAATCCACATTATAATGTATAATTTATATACATTTCTTTTTTCTTTCTTTTTTTTTATTTGTTATTTTTTTAATCAACAAGATCAACAAAAATGGAAATGTGGTTTTTTATTAGTTCTAAACAGCTAATTAATGAACATAAAAAAATAAATACAATTTTTTTACTAAACAATTACAAAATTTATACTTTAAAAAAAAACAAAAAAACAAAAAAGAAACACTAATAAAACACTTACAGGAGAAGAAAATTGATGGTGTTAAACAATCCCTTGAAAAGTTATTAGTTTTAAATAGCACAAAATTGTAAAGTAACCTACAAAAAATATAATAACCCGACAACAGGTCATCCCCCCCCCCCAAAAAAAAAAAATCAGGACCTACAAAATTCTCACATGGTGATGGGGCATTAATTATCACTTAGGTTGAACTTTTATATGGTGGGGAAAATGGAAAAAGAAAATTCATAAAAATATGGGTCTAAAATCCAGATCATAATGAAACAATACTGTATACATATTTTTTTTATTTTTTTTTTGTAATTTAGATTGAACTTTTATATGGTGGAAAAAATTTAAAAAAAAAAATCATAAAAATATGAGCGTGAAATCCACATCATAATGCATACAAATTTTTTTTATTATTATTATTTATAATTTAGATTGAACTTTTATATCGTAGGAAAAAATGAAAAAAATTCATGAAATTATGAGCTTAAAATTCACATTATAATGTATACATTTATATATATATATATATATTTTTTATTTGTTATTTTTTTTAATCAACATGATCAACAAAATGGAAATGTGAATTTTCCATTCGGAAAGTTGTAGTTCTAAACTGCTTATCAATAAACATAAATAATAAATAAATACCATTTTTTTTACTAAACAATTACAAAGTTTATATTTTAAAAAAACAAATAAACAAACGGAGAACGCTTACCGTAGAAGAATGTTGATGGTGCAACCCTTCAAAAAGTTGTTAGTCCGAATAGTATAAAGTTGTAAAGTAATTTGCAAAAATAAATTTATACTAATAATGAAAAAAATTAAACTACAATAATAAATTAAAGACTCTTAAACACTTACAGAATTTATATGAAAAAAAAAATAACTAAACAAAATTTCAATCACTAGGAATATAAAAATTAATAAGTTTTAGATATGACCTTTTATTATAAGCACTAGTTGATTTGGGACGCCTCTGCACATCCTTGTAGTATTGCTTCCCATCAATTGGAACTCCTTTCAACCACTTGTAACTCAGCCTGCATCTGGGACACATTCTTTGCATAACAGCTGCCTCCAAAGAATCATCATCCACTGCCTCTTTATCAGAGTCCTCCCTCTGGTCTGAGAAACCTTGTCCAATAGCTGGTAGATTTCCAGTGGGGCTAAAAGAGACGGCATGGCTAGCAACATGCATCTGCACATTGACTTCTTCCAATTCTTTCAAAGACAGATCTACGGTAACATTAGCCTGTGGTCGAGCTTGTTGTTTCCGAAATTTGCAAGTTTTCGAGAAATAAATTGCCCCTTTTGCCACACACAAAACATGTCACGTTGTCAAATCTTGGTGAGGGGGTTCTTGGTTCTATTTCTTTGCCTCGGGTTAGATTTTTATTTTTGTGGCCTTCCAGTATATTTTCCAAAAATTTTTTAAACTGGCTTCAAGTGACTATTTTTATGAAATCGACCTTTAGGTAAAATATTTCCAAAAGTTTAATTTACTTAGCAGTGGAATGCGTCTTGTTGTCATAGTGCATCTTGTCCCGTGCTTCTCCTACCTGAAACGTGTGATTAAAGTCTCCAAGGATTTCTTTTTGCTTGCGTGGCGCATCGACTTCTGGAACTCCTCGAAGATGAGGAAGTTTGTTCAACAATACTTGTCTACGAACAAGATTGTCCTCAATTTTTGATGCTTCAGATCTACTTCAGCTACTAACATCTGAAATCTTTGAACTTGGCTCCACCATTGATTTTCCATCTATCATTTGATACCGGAAACCCGGCTTGCAGCAAATTTTTTAGCGCTGCCTCTTCAGTGTCATATTATTCTGCAAGGCTTTCCAAATTTTCTTGGCAAGTGGTGTAAGTAGTAAGCATAATAATCATAAAATTGATCTGAAAGACTTCAAGTAGTATCGGACATTTATACTCATCTGTGCTATATTTCTTGATGTTTTCAGAATGAGTAGCATACTCCTCGTCGGTCATCTTTCAGTGGGGACTTTGTTCGGATTTTTCTCGGTCAGGATATAAGCCACCTTGAGGAGACTGAGGTAAGAAAAGCACCTTGCCTCACTGCTTAGGAAAAATGACTTCTAGCGCGTTTTAAAACGCCGCTATAATGTATGAAAACGCCTCTAATTCCTTTAGTGACGCTTATCACCAAAACGTCGAGGAACGCGGCCGTCGCTATAAGTTTATGACGCTTTAAAAACGTCGTAAAATTAGTATAGGCGGCGTTTTTTTAAAAACGCCGCTAAATGCGATAAATAATGATAAAAATGACGTCATCCAATATTTAGCGACGTTTTTAAAAACGCGCGTGATAAGATTTTTTATTTTAAAAAAAAATGTCCGTTGGCACTGTAGTGGCGTTTTGAAAAAACGCCGTTATAGCTCTTTTTTTTAAAAAAAAAAATTGTTCTGATCTGTTATATTTAACTAAAAAACATACCTGTAATAAAGCTGAAAAATAACAATAATATGATAAAATTTTACAGCTACTTCAATATATTGACTAAATAAACATTACATGATTGTGTCTGAACCAAAATCAACAACAAACACAATCACAAATAAAAAAAAAAATAGGTTAAGTCATTTACTTGCACATGCAGATGCATGGAATAGTCAAGCATATTACATCAATTACACTGTAGAATAAGGGATTCGTATTCAATTAATCATAATAGGTTCATGTACAACAGAAAATTTTGAGCAGGATACATTCCCAAATCCCAGTCAACACAAAGAATGCAGAAGAGCCCGGTGAACAGTGGCGCTGAACTCTCATACCTTCATTCATATAATAGTTTATCTATTCATATCTCTTCACCTTTATCATAAAATGAAATTTATGTAACCAAAGCAAAAAGAATATGATGCCCAGTAGTTTAAATGGGAAAATCAAGAAAAAGAATCCCTAATACCGCTTCTCTATATTCTCCAATAGCATGGAAGGAAGAAGCTCTTTAAATATAACACTCAATGTTTGAGCTTTCAAGCTTAACCCAACGGATAAATCCTCGATGGCATTCCTGCAACTACTGGGCATATCCAACTTAAGGATTAGAGTTAAGCTGAGCTAAGTTGTTCCAATGGTTTAGTATAGATTTCAGACAAAAAAAAATAGCATTTGAATTATTCATCAATTTCAGACTAAGATTTCTACCTGACATATACAATTAGTATGGCTTTTTTAAACATTAATTCAATGTTGTCTTTTAGATCTAGATTTCGCGAAATGGATTTGTGAGTTTTAGTTGTGACCAACTAAAAATTAATGTAAAATTTTATCATACACCAACCTTCTAACACTGAAGTTGAGCTGACTTCCAAGGCGGAGGACTGGATTCTGAGGGTATAAATGAGAACCAACTGCATTCTGAAGATTCACAATTTAACAGTGATTTTAAATTGCAAAGAGGACTACATAAAAAAATACCAGAAAAGGGCTTGCACTGAAAGCAGAATAAAAAAAATAATAAATTGAAGGACTTATTTAAACATAATCTAGAATTATTATGAACTCATTGGAACAGAGAGAAAATCATAAATAAGCTCACATGCAGCCCAAACTAAAATTATCCATGTAAAAGTAAAAACAATCTCAGACACAGAGAACTGAGTGATTCAAAATAAATTTCTTATAAGGTTTTAATTTAATAATTGCAACAAATAGCTATCAGCCATTAGATCTGGCTTCAGCATTCACTTAAAGAATTCCAAACCTCTATCGTTTGCTACTTGTGTCATCTAGCACAAACAGAAGCCTCTCCTTACACATTCAACTGTATTGTCCTCAACAATATCCTAGTTCTATGTCTGGTGCTAATCTTGCACCACTATGCAGGTGTCTGCAAACAATCAAAAAGTCAAACGCATGTATGGGTGCATACCTGTGTGCACATGTGTATGGTGAGGCGAAGAAAATGCTACAAAGAGAATAGGGTTTTTAAGCCAAAATGACTGGACTAGTGTTTTGAATAATTTCTAGAATTACTGCAGTTTATAGAGGCAAGCTTATTTTCAGGACATAATCATGCAAAAGTAAAACATTTTCCTGCAGTTTTCTTGTACAATTTCAACACTCTAATATCTATGAAAGAAAGGAATATCTGCTTTTAAAGGCACATATTTCCAGGATTTGAAGAGGATCAGCTGTTACCATAATGTAGTCGACTTCTGCAGATTACTGTTGAATGATACTCGCACAAGAGCTCTACCATGTCGCACTGCCTTCAATCAGGAATAAGAATGCAGGAGTGAGAGTTACGGTATGGCCAGGCAAAAGATGGTTAGAAAACATAGCTAAGACCATGTAGGTGCAATATATTTGTGCAGAAGATGGAGTTTCCACATGAAAATGCTCTGACCAACAGAAAAAAAAACAATAGAAATCAACAAACCTTAAGGATTAGAGTTGCCGAGCTAAGCTGTTCCAATGGTTTAGTATAGAGAGTTTAGATAAACGTGTAAAAAAAACATAAAATCACAGAGAAGTGAAAAAAGAAAGAGGTGAAGGAAAAAGGACATGATTAGGCATTTGGATTATCTTTATTACCATTAATATGACGGGGAAGACTAAAAAGTAGAAACTAAAACGTAGAAAAGTTAAATGAAAGCAGTTTATGTTTCTATATTAAGCAATAGCATTAATGCTCTCATTGATTATACAAAGGGCAACAATAAAAGCAATAGGTTGTAATGTTACATGTAAATTTAAGTTTAGACACCAATCTACCCCTCCTAACACCCAAATAATTAGGGATAGGAATGGAATGAATGAAAAAAACGAGATAAAGACACAAGGGAGACTTGTGCATAGGGTAAATGTGAAACTGGTATAAAGAATTTGTATAGCACATAAGAGGCAAAAAAGCACAAACAATGCTATTTATATGGATGGTCAATAACATCATAAAGACTATTCAGTTAACTCATTGGTGGTTGCATTAAATTAGTGATTTGGACATACTCTTAAAGAAAAGGATGAAAAAAGAAAAACTAAGTTGATGGACAGGTTACCTGTGCTCTCCCATCCCATGGAGAAGTAGGTAATTTGCTTTTGGTGAACCTATTAAAGAAAAAGACTCTCAAGTATCTCCAACGTAAGTGAAGAGAATGGACATCACATCGGGAATCAAGCACCACAAAATCTTCGTAAACCAAAAGATAAAGAAGAAAACAATGTATCCACAACATAATACCTTCCATCAATTTGGCAGGACCCGTTGGAGGCATTCAAGAGCCTTCTCTGAATTTGCCAAATCTTGGTAGAACTACCAAAAAAATAAACATTTAACACAACGATAATTGTCAAGTTACTTCACAGATCAAAGTAAATGTGTTAACTTAATGTGCCTGTTTCTCATGAAACCTCTGTCAGATTTGTCTGGGGATGCAAATTAATTTGCCTGCCTTCCAGATTTCTTGCAACCACTGCTCTCATTTCATCATCAAAAACTCTACATTAAATGATTGCAAAGGAAGCAGTACCAAGAACACAAATGCATTAATCAACAAAAATAAAAACTGGTATTGACCAAGAAGTCCTGGCTATACAGTTTTCAAAAGTAGTAAAATGGATTATCATGATATAATTGGGAAGCAAAGTTATCTATATGCATAGCAACTGTC